AGATGATGATGGAGTTACATTCTTATTGCCACACAACTTCACTGACAGCTCCGAATTCAAGTATGTTCAACAATCTTGCCTTTTTTTGTGCCTAGAAAAGGCAGACGCCCTGGTGTGTCATCTAGACCAGTGGCTCTCAACCTTCCCAATGCCGCGACCCTTTAACACAGTTCTTCATGTTGTGGCGACCCCCAAACATTCTATTATTTTCAGTGCTACATCATAACTTCAGTGAATTTGTCTTTTCCGATAGTCTTTGGCGACCCCTGTAAAAAGATCGTTCGACCCACAAAAGGGTCGTGACCCACAGGTTGAGAACCGCTGGTTTGGATGCTTTCCCTCGGTTCCGAAGTTTGTGGATGCAAATCCGAATGGAGATCGACTTAAAAAATGTACCTTATCTACAACGTTTACCTGGCTTTAAATGGGTACCTGTTAAAAGTCGTAGGAAGTAAATGCGGTCAACGTCATGTTTACCACATCAGCCGTTCAGTGCAGATTGGTCTACACAATTGGAGTCTAGCAGTGTATGGTGAGTCGGCTCTGTGGCTAGGTCGATGCTAACGCTTCGTAATGTCGGGAGGCCGGGTTCGATCTTAGGTGCAGGCCATGTGCCTTGCGTTGGTTTCGACAGTGGTATCAAGAAAGCTGACCGTCCAGGAAGCAATGGCAAACTACTGGACGTAAATTTGCCTAGAAAAACCACACAACAGCCAGAGGCTGTTGGGGTTGGTTCTGCAACGTCCTGTAAAGGATACGCAACTAACCAGTGTATGATGAATACACCTGAAAGTATGTGAAAGGCCCTTTTTGCACCTAGTATCCACGAAAAACACCAAAAAAAAAAAAAAAAAAAAACGATTGCTATTACTGATTTTAGAATCGATTTCACAGCACAAGGGCATATTCATGGATGCTCCATCTGCTGCAGCTAGTGTCTTCAGATTTAGATGCTAGTTAGTTAGTCAACAGATTATCCCCACTGTACATCAAACGATTCAGTCCAGAATTGCTCGGAATACCATCCTCAGTAAATCCCACAGCGTGTAGCGGTTGTAGGCACCAGTCCTGTTTTGATTTATTCTTTTTCCTCGGTATCCTACATAATGCTCTTGTCTGGCCACATCCCTATTACCATGTTGTTCTTGCAGTCTGTTCATGGTTGCAGACTCACAGTCATCACTTAGTTCACGGCTCGGCTCGTCCGCCCTCTACTGCAAGTCTATCGAGGTAGATGCTGTCTGTCCATTAGCAGACTGGTCGTACACAAGTCGTAATCTTTCTTGCATGCGTTCTTTTCCGTTCCATATTTTTGGTTGTTCTCTAACGTTCGCTGGCATAAGTTAGAATTGTAATAACTTTCGAAGTGAAGATCGTAGTTTGGTCTTTAAACTGTATAACTTGGAGAGCCATATTTTGTTAAGGCTTTTAAAGACTGTTGTTGCTTTGCCAAGGCGTATCATAATTTCCTTTGTTGTATCTCCTTGTGAGTCAAAACTGCTACCCACATAGGGGAATTAGTATGTTACTTCTGTTGGTTTGTTCTCTGGCCAAACATCTACATAATCTGTGGTTGTTTTGTTTACCACATGTGAGTTCTCATAACTTATTTGTAGTCATTTTTTTTTTTTAAATATAAAATGCAGTGGAGATAATAATATGTGAGAAGAAATCCACAGCGGAGTATGCACAGCAGGAGTCTACCGATCATCAGTTGGTTGTCCCTGACAAAATATGATAGCTCTTTGAAAGATCAGAATACACTGGCTGTACAAAAGATGGTTGTTTAGAATGGCCGAAACTAAGGCAGGCCTGCGTGCCCAGGTTGTTACTCTCTTAAAAAAAATAAAGTTCATTGATTTAAAATAACGTCATTTCATGGCGAATAGCTTTGGGACGGATTTTAAAATACTCTGCACATGTTTAAATCTTATATTACAAAGTCCGACAATTAAGTAATGAGACTAATTCCATAACAATTAAAATAATCAACAGTTGAAGATATAACCTGTGTTTTATTCAAAGTAAGCTCCTTGTGCTTTAATACAGCGAGTGGCACGATCTAACAAACTCCGAACGACTACTGTAGTTTTTCTATTGTTATGGCCCTTAAAGTCTATGTTACAGCCCTTTGGATGCTATCAATATCATCAAAGAAGCGTCCTTTCAATGGCAACTTTAATTTTAGGAATAGAAAATAGTCACAGGGAGACAAATCTGGGGAATAGGCTGGATGGTTGAGAACCCGCATCTGTTTTTCGGCCTAAAATTCCCGTACAGCTACCGCCCTTTGAGCTGGTGCACTGTCATGAAAAAGCAAACAAATTGCTAGGTGTTGAATACAAACCGACAAGTAACCTTTTTTTCTTGGGCAAATCTTCCACTAAAAGTTTACGAATAGTCTCTGTATTACCACGAAATTCATCTACCATCATCCTTCCAGTCGAACAACGGCCTTCTTGTATCCGTTCTTGGAATTTTGCAACGAGTTCCTCATAACTTACAGAAATACAGCGTCCAGGTCTAGTTGCATTAGTAATCATTTCCGCATCACTTTTGCATCTTGAATACCAGCTGAAAATCTGTGTACAAGATAAAATAATTATCCCCATAAACTTGTCACATCAATTTAACTGTCACAATGGCGCTTTTTCCGAGTTTTAAACAGAACTTAATGTTAGCTTTCTTGCTCTATGCTGATTCAGTAACAATTCATCTCTGACTAGGTTAACAAAACTGCGGCTTGTTTGTTGTCTGCTTATCAGGCAGGGATGAAAAGTTGCCTGATCATAGACAAGGCTTGCCTCTTTGGATTCCAAGCTTTGATTCATAGATGACATTTTTGTCTAGGCCATTATAAAATCAGTCTCATTGCTTAATTGTCGGACCTTGTATAATAAAATATTGTTAGATCCTACTTCTCAAAGGTTAGCGAAACGTTTTCTTGTTGTTGTTGATTGGTTTTGTTTCATAGCTCAAGAATTAAACAAATGTTTGTTTGGGCGCCAGTGTACACGTCATTTGCAATGAAAACAAAACCTCTTTAGCAGGTGCACCTCAGCTAGGAAATTTGGCTGCGGTGGATCTCCCTTCAAGAAGTAAACCGTGTATAGGAATGGATACGCATACCTAATAATACAAGCAGTACTTGATGTTGGTTATCACCCTGGCAAGACAGTGCCGGGATTTGGCGTCACCGATAGTTGACACAGAAGTGAAAGCATTGGTAGAGGAACACAGATCACCGGAAGATGTTGAATATACAGATGGTTCGGTGATTCGTGAGAAGCCAAGTGCATGGGCTTTCACGGCAAGAACCAAAGGGGAAGTCATTAAAGAAGACAATGGAGCCTTTGCTTCTACCACCAGCAGCATGACAATGGAGGTCATAGCTGTGACAATGGCCCTATAATCGCTGAAAACTCTGGAATTTACCAATGCATGCTTTTTTTTTTATCGACTCGGTGAGCATGCTACAGGAGATCGAAGAGGGGCATATATGGAAACAGTGGCTCCATCTGATACAGACCTCAACGTTTCGCAAAATCACTTTCATTTTTGTCCCCGTTTATGCTGGTGTGAAAGGCAATGAGTAAGCAGACGTCCTGGCTGGCAGTGCGACTTTCAGGAACTGGCCAACTTTGGGTAAGAGAGACATCATCAATGCCATCAGAGAGAGTAGACACTGTGAGGCTCTCAGTTTTGCGAGTAGACTACATACAACTGGTCTACCTATCGGAGCCGCGAGACAGGAAGAACACGTGGGAACCACAAGTTAATACATCAGCCAGAACATAATGGGAGCTGTTAGCCTGAAAACACTTAGAGACGTACTCAGGAGCAGTTCTAGTCATGTCCGATGTGCGAATGAGATTATCTTTCAATGAAAAGTGTATCGCTGTGCACACCTTGCTGCCTTGTAAGCATTTCCCTCCAGTATGGTTCTTAAAAAGTCGGCTCTGTGGCTAAGTCGATGCGAACGCTTTGTAACGCCGGGATGCCGGGTTCAATCACAGCTGCGGCCCATGTGCCTTGCGTTGGTTTCGACAGTGGTATCAAGAAAGCCGACCGTTCAGTGGCAATGGCAAACTAATGGACGTAAATTTGCCTAGAAAAACCACACAACAGCCAGGGTCTGTTAGGGTTGGTTCTGCAACGTCCTGTAAAGGATACGCAACTAACCTGCATTTACTTCAGCGATTATCTTTTTAATTCCTTATCACTTCACAACATCTGTATTTGTTCGTTGTTCGTTTAAAAAAAAAAAAAAAAACAGCATGAAGCATTATTTATGAAACATTTCCTACTTTATATTGTTATTGTCAACTTCTAGATTCAATGAGTACACAATTACGTCTCTTTCATCTTTGAAACCTGATGATATTAAAGTGAATGAAACCTGCAAAGCAGCAATCGAACCACTCGACAATGGCTACTACCTAATTAATTGGCCGGACTGCAGTCGCAAAATTGAAGGGGTAAGAATGGATTTTGAATGAATTTTTTTATCTTCAAGCCACTGTTATAGCAATTTTTTTTTTCGCTGTTAGTTTCTCGGTTTCAGACAATCAAAATTATAAGGCTCCTTGATAACTGCAATCAACTGCTATTTACAACAGAGTGAAAACAATCAGTCTGTCTGTTCTGCATTTGTCTGCATTTGTGCCTGTATTTTTAAAGGTATGTCCTGGAAAAGTAAAGACGGCCGGCATAATGCTGACCACATTACCTACCTAGTACCTATTGGTCTGTAAAAATATGGGAGGCTGTTCCCATATGCCTGATGCGCCTAAGGCGTAAAAAGGGATCTTTACTTTTCTTACTTATTATATTTGCGGGTATGCATTTGCTATCGATGTTTTTCTATCGGGGGCTAAAAAACACACACACCCTAATCTGCACAGCCAGTGGCGACAGCTTTAGCCATTCGGCCCCTAAGCCTCATACCCTTTCCCTTTCGTCTACACCTCGTTTCTGTAAGCGGGATGTGATGGGAGCGACGTTCTGCAAAGGACATACTACATGATGATGATTAGGGTCTAATTTATTTATTTGACTTATACTTTGTCAATACTTGGATTCCAGCTAAAGGTCAACTGGCAGCAGGCTAACTTCCGTTGATTTCTACAGTGGTTCCGAGAGTCTAAAACAATGGTCAATAACTCAACGTTAAATTGCCGTGGTGTAGCTCCTAGAGCTCGCTTGCGGATCTGAAGGTCGTGGGTTCGAATCTGAAGTGAGCTGGAGTTTTTCAAAATGACCTTGGCCCTCAGGTCGACCCAACCTTGATTGGGAACAAGTTCAAGTCCTGGAAAGTAAAAGCGGCCGGCGTGATACTGACGACACCACCCACCGAGTGCCTATTGGTATATACAATATTGGTCTAGATCTATATCCCCAATGTGTCTGAGGGTAGGGAAAAACGTGCTTTACTTTACTTTACTTTACTTTACTTTACTTTACTTTACTTTACTTTACTTTACTTTACTTTACTTTACTTTACTTTACTTTACTTTACTTTACTTTACTTTACTTTACTTTACTTTACTTTAATTTACTCCTGCGCAGATTTGAACCGCAGACCTTCGGGCTTGCAGACGAGCATTAAGCCACCTCGACTCAGTAACGTTTGCGAGGCGTGCATATAGCTGCTGCAGTCGCCGGTTACACTTTCTATTGCCACAATTTTTTTTATTAAACATTATTTATTACTGTTTACTATTGATTACAAATACTCCTTCGCTCTACTTCTAGAACATTGCGAAAACAACGCTCGCGGTACGCCACTAATGCAAAACCTGTAATGTGCGATCGCTACCAGTTATTTGTACTATAGTGCTAGCTGCGCACAAATATTCTCAACAGCGAAGCGATGAGGAGGAAAATGTCTCGCGATACCTTCTTTAGTGTAATCGTCATCTGCTAACGCTTACACATGCGAGCTATTTACACATGGCCTTTATATTCGGTTTGGGTATCTTACTATAAGTGGCGCAACCGATTAAAATCACTCTATGTTAAGTACTGGGGATAGAAACATATTTATTACTAAGTGATCCTGTATTCTGGCAGCGCCACCCAACCTATTCCGTTGTTATCACTTGTGAATTCTGTGATGTCATTATGCCGGCTGGAGGCCCCATTCAGCCAGCCGCTGCTCCTTACAAGCTTAGACGTTATGGAAACAGGTATTACATTTCTCATCTTCTTCATCATCATTGTCATCGTTATTATAAACCATCATGAATCATCATCTTTGTGCCACGTCATGCGGGAGTTCAATGCAACGAGCATGCAGATTATCTTGCAGACACTGCGGTTGCTTTAGTTGGTCCGATGCTGGACAGAAGCGACATTATCAATGCTATATGCAGAATTCACAGCCAAGACAAATAAGGCAAAGGGCATAACTCGGTATCGCTTGTCTAGGCTGCTGGACATAGGAGTGCCACCGGGAGCTGCAAGAAATAAAATTTCACTTAGGGGGACAAGACGTTGAAATAATCAATACAGAACAGGCGTTATTAGTCATTTTTACACTTGTGAAGATCAGAGCACCTGTGGGTCTGTCCGGAGTGCTGTGACGATAATCCTCACTTATCATAAACTAATTCCACCATTAGTTTCCGTGGAGAGGAACAATCTTCAGTTCGGTGCTCTCTGGGTGGCATCGAGTTCTGTCAAGGCTAGCAAGCGTTAGGTGTCTTTAATATTGTCAGTCCATCGTTGTCGTGGGTGCCTTCTTGCTCTTGTAGCTGATCTTCTGAGATGTAGTGCCTGTATTGGAATTTGATATTGTGCATTCTAAAGATGTGGCCAAACTACTTAATCGGCTGTTTCTCGATGAATTTAATACACTGTGATGTTCCCACAGTTTGTCTGATAATGCCATTATTGACTCGTTCAGAGTTAGATTGCCATCTTTAGTACATTTCTATGTTATCTAAATGATAACATTTAGTTTATACTTTCAGCAGTCATATATCATCATCATCAGCATCATTATCATTATCATCATGATTATTGTAATTATCATCATCATCACTATCAAATGTCTTGCCCACAGGGGTGACGATCATGCCTCTCCACAACTTGAGATTTTGAACAGCATGTTTAAGCTCATCTGTTGACACCGCTTAATGCCTTGAAAAAAACTGTCTGAAATCTCCTCGCTGTGTCTTTATCTGCCTCTTTTTCCACAAATCTCTCCGGTGGTCACAGCATGTTCAAATTTCCCTCTTCTTATAACATGATAAAAACATGGTGATTGTCGCTTTCTGATATTTGTGTTAAGTTGCCGACGAGGTCCTCGCCTTTTTCAAAACATTAGGTTAACTTTTTCTGACTTCAACAAATTTCATGAATTTTAAGCATTTTTCTGTAAAAGCACATCCCTTTGGCCTTAAACATTTTTTTCGTCTTGTTAATGATTGCTTAGGATTCACAGCTATATGTTAAAAATAATTCATATGCCATCAGTAGTTATGGTATTCATTAAAACGCGTCAAACGTATACTAATCCAAGACAGACTACAAACGCTTAGTGTCATCAACTTGAAAGAGAAGGCCAACCGATAAGATGAATGTAGGCGGGTGATATCTACAGCGATGAACCTCAAGGGCTCCGAATGTCCAAGAACAAGAAAACGGACGTTACCTAATAACTGTATTTATGAATGTTTGATTCAGTGTTCATGATATGACCAATGAATATAGAGTGTCTCTTTCTGATGTGGGAAATCAGTTCTCTTTGTGAGTCTGTCTGTTTCAATGCATATTCATTACTTCTTTTATCTGTCAAGGGTATTTTATCATTTGTCAATAAAACCAAATCTCAGGAGTTTGCAAATAATTTTTCATAATCTAGCAACTGTCCATGATTTACTTTCGTTTATTAGGATAATATTTATATAGATTTTAAGAATTCTCATTCTCGTCTCAACTGACAAAGAAGGATTACAATTTTTGACATTTCTCACTATACTTTCTGCATGTATATTGAAAAGGTAATATGACAGAACGCACCCCTTTAGACCTAAAACCAGTCTGAAGTGTTACCAGCCACTCTGGTAGCTGCTTGTTGTTCAGGACATAAACCTTGAATTAAAGGTATTACATATGCAGGAAACCCCATATTCTCATGACACTCCACAATGTATAGTGTTGGACATGTGAGGTTGTACATGTGATGGCGTATACACCACATTGAAATGACAAGTTATTATCAGCACCATGTGCCACGCCGATAAAAGTAGGCTGTCGCGTTTCGTTTGCCATATGATCACCAGAATCACAGATCAGGTCAGTGTTTTTTCGCACGCCATACATATGGCTAATCCATTTAGGTATTTTTTGTTTTGTTGTTGGTATCAATCTTGCCAGTCTTTGCAAAGTCATCATGTCAATTACTTATCATAGTTTCTTTTAGAAATTACCCAGTCATAAAGTGAATGAAGCATCCTCACACGCACTGAGATGAGCGATTTGATTTAACTTTCTATTTTGTGTTTTAGATATCCGATTCCCGGTGCTCCCGGTGATTACGTTAGCCCTTGCAGGAGACGATGATTGTGTTTCAGATATCCGATATCCGGTGCTCCCATTGATTACTTTACTTGCAGGAGACGAAGATAAATTCTGTATGTGGAAAAGAAACAGATTTTCTGTGACTTTGTGTCGCACATCACTCCTCCACCTTTTATTTTACGCCACCACTATTTTCTTTCTGGTATAATGAAATATTATTAATTACGTCTGGAATTTTAAATTTCGAATTTAGAAAAAAATGTTAATAATTTGTTTTATTCTAAAATAAAAAATTTCCCACAATGATCTTGAATTTGATTGTGTTTACCTCTGTAATGTGATTACTTTAACACACAATCGCCTAAAAAATTGTCTCTAAAATAATTAGCCTAAATACACACAAACATAAAAAAAAAGAAAGAAAAAACATACAAATGAATACACAAGGTTTTGCAGTAAGCTACGATTCTCACACCAAACAAGCACTCAGAAAGCTTTCACCGCCGATTCGGGGAGATAAACATATCAGAGGAGACGTGTTGCGAGGTGTAGCAGAGGTTGTCTAAACTAGATTTTCAGTTTGTTATCATTTTGAACATCAGCCACAAACCGAGGCATATACCATACATTAAAAAGCATAGTACATTACTTTTCACTTTATTAAGAACACTATGAGATTAACATGTTGTTACTTGCTGTATGGGTCTATATGTTCACTTAGAGACAGCTGTTGGCTGTGATACGGAAAGTTCTATAAAACCTCCACTGCAGACATGTTGAGAGAACAGACTTTACGTACAGCCCAACCAGTAGTCCCCTTGTGGGATGCAATTTTTCGATATTTGGAAGCCCCACCCTGGTTCTTGCCAGGGGCCGCAATACAGCCCGGCCATAAATATGGCCTATGTGCTGAACGCGGATTCCACAACCTCGCCTCGGGGATCCTCATCCACATGGTGAAACTTTGTGTCACTAGGTGTTTATCGCTTGTGCTATGTCTTAGTGGGGTAAAATCTACTACTACTACTACGTATCAGCCATGAATGTCAGTGCGAATCATCTCCGTCTGTCCTCTTCCTGGTAGTGTTACTGAGTCTGAGACCCTCGGAAGTGGCCGGAGAGTGTGGAGGTATGTGAAATGCAAGTGGAAACTTCACTGGTTTATTTCTGACAAATAGACACATACAGACAACCAGCATGACTGACAGACAAATCAACATACATATAAACATAATTGAAAAAACAAAGACAATATGAAGGACGGAACAAATATGCCATCTAATGAAAATAGAATGTGTTCACATACTTAATCGGTATCTAAACAAATGCATTTATATGCGAAACCATAATTTCTGCAGGCTTTGACACACACACACGCACGCAGACACACACCACACACCCATCTATCCACCCAAATAAACAGGCAAGCAGAAAGAGACACAAACATACAGGCAGACATACATACTGTTCCACTTTTTCAAACATATATGTCTGTTCAATAATTCTTTGCTTTCGTCTTTGACTGTTGTCTCGGGGTGTGCTCTAACACATGTTATACATACACTGCACCGATGTTGTGAGCAAAGGAGACGTCTGCATGTTAACAATGTTTATTGACAATAATGCACTCACGAATATGTCCAGTCCTTGTCCCTACTCCTTTACCAAGTCCAACATTCAATCGCACACGCATTCAGACGTCAACACTCAGAGCATTCACACAAAGCAAGTGGCAGTGTTCCATCTTCCACGCCCTATCTCTGGACAGCTGACTTCAGCCGTTTCTCTCGTGGGCTCTCGCCGCTAACTCTGAGTAGTAGTTGTTGATCATCTGCGTAGCTGGTTCGTTGCTGAAGATGATGTTGGAACTGTAGTCTTGAAGTATTCTCTTTCGTCGTCAAGTATTCTTCACATTCATACGGAATCACAAACACGTCCTCTCACTCCAACTGGCAAACACATACTGTCTAATCAGAACGTGGTCTGATCCTATAGCCGGGTTTTAGGCTCCACGTGGCCACACATGGTTGTCTCCCCTCCTTGAGAAAATCGTTTTCTCCGAGTATTTGGCTTCTCTCGGTTTTCTGGTCTCCCTCGTGTTTGTCGAGATTTCCCCCTGTGACGAGCTGGTCTGGACAGCTGTTCCTGTCCTTTTAAAAAGTGCTTTGTTTAGATAAATATTATTACCAAAGTTCTAAACATTTTCCTATTGCTTTTAATTAGCATAATAACACTGGATTAATTAAGAAATTTTCTTACCTCTTTCTTAATGCTTCATTGGAGCAAAATTATAATTAAATTATAAGAAAGTTATAAAGGCGAATGAGATGATTAGTCAAGGGGAACTGAAGAGTAACTCCCTCCTTTTTAAAGACTTCCTGTTCCCTTTTCAATTCAGAAATTGACCGGTTCAGACTAAAGTTATTAGTCCGCCTGTGGTCCAATTTTCTGTTTGAATTCCCTGCCAGGGGTGAGTTAAAAGAATAAGTTTAATTTGATGTATTGCTGCTTATTCCTCTGAATTAATTCCACAGGTTAAATTCTGAAATTTAATGCCCACATGGCTCAAAAACCATGATAAATTTCTGTATCCTTACTAACCACGTTTATGAGCTAGCATGTACATGTATGCAAACATATTATCTAATTGATGATTGAATTAATGTTTATTTGCTACTAGAAACGTGCATTGGTATTTTTAATAATTATACTTATATTAATTAAGTGATAATTATGTCCTCATGTGAAATCTCAGCCAGTTCCTGTTTCCAGCTTAGACAATTAAAAATAGGAATGAAGTGTATATTCATTATACCTAATCCCTTCTAAGTTGATTTTACCTCATGGTGATATTAGCTTAATAAATCACTGTCTTGCTTTAAATTAGATTTAGTCCAGATAATTCTGAGACTAGTTTAAGAGCTTGGAAAGTGAATAACACAGTGAGGCTGAATTTAATATTCACACTGTCAGAGAAGAAGAAGCAGAAAAGAGATGTATGGCCCCTGCTTGTAATTATTATTGTTGTAGATATATTTCCCTATTACTAGGAATACATTTCAGTTTTACAGCAGCTGGCCTTACAAATGTAATAATTATATTTCACCCCTCACCACTTCTAAACTCTGCTGAATAAGATTAGCACATGTGTAGATTTAGACTTAAACTGGAGTGAGTGTTGTATATTTTATGGTAATACTGTGACAGATGGAAAGCCCATTGTCATCTATGATTGTATTTTGACATCTATCCCAGCACCCAGTATATTGATGGAGATATGTCAATCCCATTCATTTTCAAACAGTGCAAAGCACCTGTTATGAGTTCCTGGCCTTGGTAAACTCACTCCCTGTTTCTCATTCATTGTGATGTGAACCCATGTGGTTAAAATGAGAATATTGTGAAATATGACTGTATATGTCTGTGTGTGTAAGCATGTTAACCCTTTAAAGGAGTACTAGTGTGCAGACATCAGAACAATTTACACTGAGGAATGTCCTTTCTTTTTGTGTGCTGTAAATTCTTGTTCTTGAGAGTATTCATGAAACTGGTTTCCTAAATATTTCCCCATCAGGATTATGGACCAGGTTCTGTATACATTCCCATTCTATGCCAGTAGAATGTGAACACCTGTTACTATCCTACTCCATATATATGTGTGTAGTGTAACAGTTTAAAGACTGGAGGTATTGTTGTCTCCAGTTAGAACCTTCCTGACTGTTTGTATAAGGACTGTTCTATTGTTCTAGTTCCAGATTGTATTCCAGATGGTAGTCCAGAAGTAGATCCTAAGCTTAGCTGCAGATACCCGATTGTCCGGACTGGACTGGAAGATTCGGCCTGCCTGATGTGTTTCCGAAGCTTAGTCAGAAGCTGACAACAGAAACCTAAGCCACAGCTAAGTGGACAGTGTTCACTAACCTTGTATAACAGGATTTTATATCCACAGCCATTTTGTTTATTATTTTGATATCCAATTCTGAATAAATGTTAGTTTTAATGTTCCTACAGTTTTATGAAGTTTCATTTTAACTGTAAACATTGTCAGTGAACTTAAGAACATTTAAATATACAATCTTAATTACAGCAGGGAATAAGATGTGGGCAAACCCCGAATCCTCTCATTTAACCAGCAAGGCTGGGGTTACTATAAGACTTTTTGATGTTTCACCGTTTGCAATTCCCTCTGTAAAGTGCACATAGTGCATTCGCTAGTTAAAGCGAAGTTACCCGCCACACCCCCTACCTTCCTAATCAGGGAATACCCGTGTGAAAATATCCCACTTTGCAGTCTGTTTATTTGTCTGCCCGTCTGGATGTCTATTTGTCTGTCAGACTGTCTGTCGATCTCACTCTCACTCTCTGTGTCTCAATGAATATTTACAATTGTCACAAAGACAGTAACGATGAATATAAACACACGGTTTCCTGATTCTTTTGACTGTCGATTCACAATTCCTACCTATCATTGACATGTCCACGAAGAATAAATGAAGAGCATACCTGAAAACCTTTAGCATTCAATAATATCTCACAATTAGAAATAAGATTTCCACGGGGAGGCATGCACAGCAGTAGATCAACAGTTGAAAGGTCCATCGTCGAAAATTGTTTTGTCCCATTACTTCCCTAGACAATCTCGGAGGTAGGCCGACCTGTTCATGACACCAAGCCTCAGACGTACCTTGCTGAACTTTATGAGACGTTCGGACAGGGACAAGACTAAACGGTGACTTTACAACAGCCAGTGTGAAGATCTGGTGTTATATAATGTGGCTGCGGTAGAAAATTAGACGACTACCTTCACGACCGGAGCGACAAGCTTACGTTTGGCTCATCGGACAGGCGTTATACTTTGGCAACTGGCAAAGAGACACTGGCAGACATTTATCGGTCACTTTGGCTTTTAGGGATAAGAAGCTGTTTTCCACTAGGGACTCGTGTAAGTGCATCGCTACTAGTTCCCACATCGTTGTTTCAAAAGTTACCAAGCGTGACATTTAATTCGATTAGAGAAATGTCCCTTTCTTGTCTGAAGGTGT